CCAAGCCCACCGGAATGGCGTCTTGCCCTCTGTTCCTCCTAGCCCCACAACCTCCTCCTCCGCTCGTCACCGCCCGCCACTGCCCCTCGCCTCTCTCTGGCCGCGCACACCCCCGAATTAGCTACGGTGCCCCCCGCCTCCGCCGCCGTCAGAGCTGCCGCTGCTCCTCCTCCCCCTCTTCTTCTTCTTCATCCTCGTCCGGCCCTCGCGAGCGCTCTCCGAGGCCTCGGCAGCAGAAGCAGCGAACGGAGCAGCGGCCCGGCCGCGGCAGCGCCGTGGACCCCGTGGGCTTCCTCGTCAAGACTGGCGTCTCCGACCGCGCATTCGCCCAGTTCCTTCGCGACCGGTACGTTCGCCCACCGTCTGGTACTCTGGTATGGTTGGGGGAATGAGCACCCTAATCGTCTTCCTGCAAACCCCGTTATCGAACTTTGTTCTCTCATTATGGGACACCAGAGGCGGGAATTGATTGAGGTTTTTGACGGAAATGATACGCAAATAGTATGGTTTTGGCTCAGTGTTCGCTAGTAGGTAGGCAGCAATCGCTTGTTTGCTTATTGGATTGTTGTTGTCAGGCACAAGGCTTTGAAGGACCGCAGATGGGAGCTGTACTCTCGGTTTATTGATCTAAAAGAGGGGTCCTCTGGGTAAGTTTGCCACCATCTTCTAGATTTGGTGTTTTGATTATGCTCGGGATCTTTGGGGGTGATGCTGGTCTGTTTGTGTTTTCCTGGTAGGTATGAGTTATTGGGAATGCACCGTCATCGGCAGCATCGTGTGGATTTCATGGACTGGGCACCAGGTATTGTTCATTTTTGGGTGTGACTAAGTTTGAATTAGTAGGTTCTGATATGTGGTAAATTAGGTCAAATATGATCATTTAAAATAGAATATAGATTCATAGTTTCGGGATATGGTAAGGGTAAACGGTACTCATAGCAAAGTTTGCCGCCCTTATGTTTCCAGCAGTTAGACTTAGACCTGCTCGATTAGCTTCAACACTCAAGGGCCCTCATTTATCCCATAGTATTTCGGGAATGTTACCCAGCGAACGTCAGCTGGGAGGGGGGTGGCAAGCGAACGCCATTTGATGGCAGTTTTAGTTGTCAGGCGAGATCAAACGACGGCAGTTTTTAAATGAAAATTGCCTTCTCGGGAAGAAACTGCCATGTCGCCTGAAGAAAATGCCACACCTCACCACTTCCTTGCAACTAAAACTGCCACGAAATCGTTCGCATGTGCCACCCTCCCTGGCGAACGTTCGCCAGTTAACGCGGTCCTATTATCTTGATTTTCTACAATTCTGCAAGAATACATATCCACCATTAAATCAATGGAATAACATTTTTCTTGTTAATGAGCAGCTGGAAATATCCTTAAAATGCCACCTTTCTGGTTTTTATATTCTTATAGATAGCTTGAAGTGCTCATTAAAGTAATAATTTGTATAGTTTGTAATTATAGTTCTTGGCTGTTGTAACCCTGCTGTTTCAATAAGTCAGTTTTCTTTTGGTCCCTACATTTTTCTCTATGTACCTTATTTCATTTTCAGCTGAACATGTTATGTCAGCCACTTTGAAGTTTGAACTTGTCATTTTACTTGATTATTGAGATGCTACTTTGTGATTGCTGACTACTATATATTTGGGTATTATTACTACAGCCTCTTTGATATAAGTTTCTGTGCTTAAGCATTAGATTGAACATTTGTTACATTCAATTATTGAAAGGAGGATTGTCATGTAGGTGCTCGGTATTGTTCTCTGATTGGTGACTTTAATCAGTGGTCGGCAACTGAAAACTGTGCACGAGAAGGCCATTTGGGACATGATGATTTCGGGTATTGGTTTGTGATACTTGAAGATAAGCTCAGAGAAGGGCAAGAACCAGATGAATACTTTTTCCAGGAGTACAATTATGTGGATGATTATGATAAAGGTGACAATGGTGTTGATGCTAAAGATTTAATCCGTAGAATGAATGAAGAGTATTGGGAACCTGGAGAAGTTACGTCACGCAAGTCTCGGTGGGAGACAGTTGCAAAGCTATACGAGCAGATGTTTGGCCCAAATGGTCCGCAGACAGAAGAAGAGCTAGGTGAAATACCTGATGCTGAAACCAGATATAAAAACTGGAAAGCCACACAAAAGGATGAGTCATCCAGTTCATCGCCTTCCTACGATATCATTGATACTGGGCAGGAGTTTGACATTTTCAATGTTGTAACTGATCGAGCATCGTTTGAAAAGTTTCAAGCAAAGGCAACTCCTCTTGCTTACTGGGTTGAAATGAGGAAAGGAAGAAAAGCCTGGATAGAGAAATATGTTCCAGCGATTTCTCATAAAGACAAGTACAGGATTTATTTTAATACTCCTGATGGTGCTTTAGAACGCGTGCCTGCTTGGGCAACTTATGTTCTTCCAGGTTCATTCCTACTTATCTCTGTGATGATGATGCCTCCATTATTACCGCTTCTCATCATATTGGAAGTTATTAATCTATTGCAAAAATTATTTACAGTAACAGTGCACATGAAGCTAGGTTCTGGATTGGTTGCTAGGTCATAACCTTTTGCTTCATGGTTGGTCCTGAGAGGAAAAAAGACGATGCAGTACAAGGGTGCTAGCCAGAAAGAAATAGTCTGTTTTAGTATCTTTGAGAGTGAAAGTAGATTATTATGATTTAAGGTTCTATTTTCCCTCCTGTTTTCTTCTTCCCTTTCGCACTGGTGTTGGAGGAGGTGGGATAGGAGTTCAGTGAAAACTTGGACATCTGTCCAAGGACTGGTAGCGGTTGAGAGTCCTAGTGAACATAGAACATTAAGCTCATTATTGCTTATTTTCATGGGACTCCCAGGGATAATTATGCCACACTGACATTATAATGGAGCCGACATCTTCCCTATCTCTTTGCATAGGTTTCTGGTTGAGTTGTAATGTTCATGAATTCACTTCAAATAGCTGTTGTACTTTGTGTGTGCATTACTGCTATTTCCGCAATGACAATTTTGGATTATCTTGTTAACATGGTCTTACTTATCTAACATGCTGCTTTGCTTCTTTTATGCATAATTTATTGATGCTGATGAAATCTCTTCATTTTTCTTTTTCTTTTTTGTAGACGCAGAGGGGATGCAATCCTATGCAGTACATTGGGAGCCTCCTCCAGAAGAAATTTACAAATGGAGATTTGGACGACCGAAAGTCAAAGGTTCACTTAGGATATATGAATGTCATGTTGGAATAAGTGGATCTGAGCAAAAGATATCATCGTTTCAAGAGTTCACATCCAACGTATTTCCCACTCCTTGTTTTGTCTGTTGTAGTGGTAACTTCACTTCTCTAACTTCATCTCCATTAGGTACTACCTCACATAAAAAATGCTGGATATAATGCTGTTCAAATAATTGGAGTCGTGGAGCACAAGGATTACTCCTCCGTTGGCTATAAGGTGACACTATGATGATATAGTTAGTATCGATCAATAAGAATTTTGTTTTTGTGAGTTAAACTGCTCATTATTAATGTTAGATTGCCATGCAGAATAAAAATGACAGTGATTTGTAGTTTTAACATTTGAAGCCTTTCTGATTCATCCAGAATTGACCATGATAGTGTCGTTTTAGAATTGTGAAGAAGTACTTGACGAACCTCCAATTTTGAACTTACAATATGTTTAGACAGCCCATTGTCAACCGCCATGAATCTCAGTATTGGTTGATCATCGTCGAAACTCACAACCTCCAAAGTGAACCTTTTCTCCTTGCTTGCTTAATCTTTATGGCTGCATGCATCTATGATGCAGAGGCCGGGGATAATAAAAGCTTCCATTTCTAAAAAAAACTTATATTGCCCCACATTGTTTCAAGTCACAAGTGTGCACATATGGAATGTTTTATATTAGACTTAAGCTGAGATACCAGATGGTTTCATTGTAATTTTTAGCAGTTTAAAGAAGCTACTATAAAAACTAGAAGATTGCCTAATGTTCAAGTATGCAGCTGGCTTTCCTTTGAGTTTGAGGAGATATGAAGTAATGAATATTTTGTCGATGCTGGAGTAATTGATATTGTTAAACTAATTGCAAATGGCATTGTTTTCTTCATTTGTAGAGTTATTACCAGATGTTTTAATTTTAATGATTGCTCCATTTGTTATAGATGATAGCAGTGGTCACTGCATTGTGTTAATTTTCTCTCTCTGTCTGTGTGTGATCAAGTGCATTGTAACTGCAGGTCACAAATTATTTTGCAGTCAGTAGCAGATTTGGCACCCCAGACGACTTCAAGAAACTAGTGGACGAGGCACACGGTCTGCTTCTCAAGATCATTATTATTCTCTTACTCCTGTAACCATCAAAATCTATTCTAATAGCACATGTGAAACACACAGACACATAAGAAGCCGGGTTTAATATACCTAGACATTTATAGAGTGTTCATTTGTTCAATTATGAGGTATAAAACGATAAAACAGGTAGGTGCAGGTTGATCACATAATTATAGAGGAGGCCAAAAAGTGAAAACACAATGTGCACATTAGCTCAACATGCAGTACCACTTGTGTTATTTGTGACAGGCACACTTTATTCCTATAAAACATGGCAGCATTTATTCTGACAACAACACTAAGTGTAGGAGAGGAGTATACACAGAACAGAGTACTCCTCTTATAACACATTCTCTTTTCTTTTTATTTGTCTCCGTAGATCATATTCTGGCCCAGATGGCGAATATGGGATACATTTAAGTCGAAGTCTTGTAATATTGCCTCTTAGTAGAACGTTTTTGTTGTCCATTCGCCATTCTCCATTTTCCTTGCTTTTAATATAAGATGTCATTTACGTCTGGTAGTTGAGAAGTGTTTTTACAATAGAAGTTTTTTTATACTGCTGGTCGGCCATCTTCCTAGTGTTTTTCCTCCATTATGTTTCCTTGTGCATGTAAGTTTGGAACTTAAGTGACATCTCTAGCAAGTTCTGAGATTGCATGCATTGTTTTACCATTCAATGTTAAGAATGAGTGAAACACTGATTAACATATCATCTTTTCTTTGTGCTCATCCCTTCTTTGCTCAGGTCTTGGGTTGCTGGTTCTTATTGATATTGTCCACTCCTATGCATCAGCGGACGAAATGGTTGGGTTATCCCTTTTTGATGGGTCTAACGATTGTTACTTCCACAGCGGTAATACAACTTTTTTTTACTTCTTAAAGTTTTGTTGGTGTTCATGTGGAATCATGCTAATAATAAATTTGGAAGACGTTAATAACAACATCTTTTTTTTAACCGAAAAAGGCTTTCGCCCCGCTTCATATATAAAGCAAAGATCACCAACAACCCAGTACAACACACGCCACCACAACACACGCACACACCCAAGGCAGAATACATAGGCGCTGAGCGCAGCAACACCACCCCTAGCACTACAAGAGCCATCGGGGCCTCAACCGTGAACATGCCACCGCGTAGAGAAGAAGCTACATACGACGCACCGTGGGCTCCAAGGCGGTGCCTACAGGAAGGTTACGACACCGAAGCGCCGCCACTGCCCAACCCAAGGATCAGAGTTTTCCCCGGAGCAACACGACGGGCAGCGAGAGTCGCGGCGACGCCTTCAAGAAGGGAACGAGCTTCGCCGTCTCCGGTCAATCCGAAGATAGAACAGGTTTTCACCCCGACCAATATTCACCGTCACCGAACGCCACACCTTGGCTACCACGCCGCCCACACGGCAATGGCCACCAGGCAACACCAAGTCACGGGCTTTGCCCAGGAGCACCGCGACACCACCACCAGGGCCGCCGCCCCAGCATCCAAGACCTTGACGCCACCTCACCCGCCACCCACCGCTACCCCAACCAAAGATATGGGCAGAAAAGGACCCGCCTTTTGCACCCCTGAGCCGCTCCCAACGCCGAAACCCAATAGGCCGGCCAAAATTGGCCGCCATCGACCCGTCCAAGACACTGGCGCGAGACGAGCACTGTCCTGCTGCCGGGCGCGAGACGAGCATGGTCCTGCTGCCGGGCGCGAGACGAGGCCGGTCCTGCTGCCGGGCGCGAGACGAGCTCGGTCCTGCTGCCGGGCACGAGACGAGCTCGGTCCTGCTGCCGGGCGCGAGACAAGCTCGGTCCCGTTGCTGAGCGTGAAACGAGCGATGGCCCATAGTTGGTGAAGGGCCGAACCTTCGACGAAGGTAGCACCTGGACGACGAGGAGAGGGATCGAAGGTCGACACACGCCGCCTACGGGCCAGCCGACGCCGGAACATGCCCGCCGCTGCCGCAGTCGACCTGCGAAGCCACCATGGAGCCATCCATGGCCAGAGCCGCAACCACACCAGGCCGCTGCCCAACCCGCGCCGCCCGACGAGCTCCAAGCGTTGGAGCCGCCGGGCACGCACCCGCGCGACCAGCCGATGTTGCAGGCCGTCACGGGCCACCACCACGCCGTGCCTGCACCAGATCCGCGGCACATGCCCTCCACCATCCACCAACGGACCGGCGCCGGGAGAGAGTAGCTCCAGACCCACCACCGGCAGCGCCACCTACACCACGCAGAGGCCACTGGCCTGGGGAGACTAGCAGCCCCAACCAGCACCACGCTAGCCAGGGCACACCACTGCACCTCGCCAGACACCAGCCCGGCCGAGAGGGCCGTCTCCGGCCAAGTAGGATGGGATCAGCAACTCCATCGCCGCCGGGGCCTCCACCACGCGCAGCCGCCCTGCCACCCACGCGGCCCAGGACAACCAACACCGCCGCATCCGCCGATGGCGCTAGTCCACCAGATCCGAGCAGAAAAGCCCCGATCCGCCGCCAAAACGGCCAGCCGCCGCTCCTCCACCGCGAGGAAGACAGAGAGGAGGGGGCCGCCGCCCCAGCATCCAGCGCCACCGCGCCGCAGAAGAGGTTGGAGGGCCAGATCCGCGCCGGCGCGCAGCTCCGTGACGCACGGCGCGCCATCCAGGGCTGGCCTCCACGCGTGACGAGAGAGAAAAGGCCCGCCACACAAAGCCCGGCGGGGACGCCCGACGGCGGCGAGGGGGGAGGGAGCAGGAGGGGGTGGTGGCGGCGGCGGCGGGGTTAGGTCACCTGAGCCGCCCCCCTGGAGAGCGACGCGGGTGGGTCTAAAGCCCTCGGGATGCTTGCATTCGATGCTTCATCTTTTTTTTTTCAGTGGTGCACTTTGAATATTTTACATACTCTATTTCATTTCTTTGTCCGAGGTACTTGTGTGCTTCTTTGGCTCTTTGCTACTTCAACATGTTTGTTGTAATGTATCCTTGTCAGGGAAAAGAGGGCATCACAAATACTGGGGCACTAGAATGTTCAAATATGATGATGTTGATGTTCTGCACTTCTTGCTGTCTAATTTAAGTTGGTAAAATAGTGAAAGCTCTGTTCATACTCTATTCTTTGTTCTTCGGTTTCCTATCTACCTAGGTACTTATGGATCTCTTACTTGTTAGGTGGGTTACCGAATACAAGATCGATGGATTCCAGTTTCACTCACTCTCTTCTATGTTATATACCCACAATGGTTTTTCTACATTTACTGGTGCCATAGAAGAGTAAGCGTTAACTACTGTTTACAGTCAACATTATTTGGCCGTCTTGTATTATATTTTACTGAATTGTTCTCAATTGGACGGAAATGGGACACACTCATGTATCCATCAAATATAGATCTGACATTGGGAGGATCTACACTCCGTACTAGCATGTTTTGGGGACAGTACCACTGCCAACTAACATTGCATTTTCTGTTCTCACTCTGCTACTATTTCTCTATTCTACTCGTTTGCTTGTATCAACATCTGTAATTGTATTTGTGTGGTAAGACAATGTTGCGAGAACATTGTTCTCTAGCCTACAATGACATGTGGTCGTTCTGACCCTGGTCGTACATAGCATCAAAGTTAAGTAGAACACTATAAAACAAGGTTCTAGATATTTAATTTATTCTGAGTCATGGATATCTATGAGGATCTAGCTATATGCTCTTCAAAGAAGAAGAATGGGGCTGTAATTCGAGGATCCAAACCTCACGATAAGGGGTGTACAGTCACACCTCCCACCAACCTAGGCTCAGTTCCTCAGAACCGAGATTATGGTGATCTTAGCATATCTTGATCCTGTCAACATGAGGACAACCTTGTCAAGCCGTGGATCCTGATGCTGACAACTATTGGATAACATATAACTGTATCCAGAATTATGTCTAGGTTAAATATAATCCGATTTAGGTTAACTCTCAGCATGCCGAACCTGTAAACCTGAATTGGAGAACATTGATGATACCTTCTTTTTGGTGTGGTTCCCCCGTTCCCATCTATATTTCCTACTTCGCTGGAGTTATCTGCTTGCTTGAAACCAAGTATAGCCACATAGCAAGATCACAAAACAGGAAAGTGCCCCGTTGTGTGTGGGAGAAGCTGGAGCATATTTATAGGCAGTTACTGTTTGCTAAGGATCAGCTGCATCCATTTGTCATTGACAAATCCCCATCCAGGAGCTGCTGGTACTACGGCTAAACATTCTAAACAAATCAAGCCACATATCAATGTTCTACTGACTTACAACATAGATGGAAGTCAAAGGGAAGGCCTTCTATTGGTCCTTGAATGCATATCCTAGTGATCAATTTGATGTCATCCTGTGTGCAGTGAGGAACTGCAAGTGCTATCCAATGTTCCAATTTTCATGCTCTTTTGAACGTCTCCTCCATGTTTTCATTCAATACTCATTGCTGTTTATGTAATATACTTGTCACCTTTCCCCAGTCTCTTTATGCTCATTCCAATGTTGATTATAGGTATTGCAATCAATACGTTGACAAGGATGCGCTGATATACCTAATTCTAGCAAATGAGATGTTACATGAACTCCATCCAGATATTATAACAATAGCAGAGGATGTAAGTTGCTGCTGTACTAGCTGTTCCTTTCATGTAATTTTTTGTTCATGTGAAATAGTTAGTGGTTTTAGGCATGCAATTTGGTATGGACACATACCACATCTGTTGCAAAATGTAAGGTGATAGGAGCTGGGATCCTACCAGGCCTAGCTCTTAGGTTGTAGGGGTGGAAGGGAGGGTGGCGAGGAGTTGGGCGCGAGCGGCGGCGCGATGGCGCCGTGGTCGCGCGGCTGGGGAGGAGGAGATGGCGCAGGAGGCGGCTAGGGTTAGGGTTCTGGCTCCTGAAGGGAGCCGGGCAATAGTTATGCCTTATTGCTTAATTCCAAAACGTGGCCTTACAACTGTTTATATAATCCTCGAGGTGCTAATAAAAATAAAGATAAGTTGGGCTAAGCCCCTAACTAGACGCGTCATTGGGCCTCCCCCGGCTATAAGTGACGCCGGTCATAACATCTCTCCCCGCCTGCGCAAACAGCTCGTCCTTGAGCTGAAGTCTGGAAAATGTTGGCGGAACTCCTCGAGCTGCTCCCAAGTGGCGTCCTTCTCCGGAAGGCCTTGCCACTGGATCAACAAACGCCACACGCGGCGCTGCTCGGCCTTCAACACCTTCGCTGGGCCCGGAAGAAGACGTCCATCGGAGGTTGGAGGAAGCGCCGGCGCGGCCGCCGGCGGATCACCGCGGAAAGGCTTCAGCAAGCCCACATGGAAGACGTCGTGGATGCGAGTGCCGGGCGGAAGCTGAAGGCGGTATGCGACCTTGCCGATGCGTTCCAACACAGAAAACGGTCCCGCGTAGTGAGGGCCCAGCTTGCGCTTAGCGCGCGGATCCAGTGACTACATGGAGCGGTGAAGGAGCCGCAACCACACCCAGTCGCCCACTGCAAACTCCGCCTTGCGGTGGTGGCCGTCGTAGTACTTCTTGGACAGCTGTTGGGCTTGGAGAAGACGCTGGCGCACCTCGGCAAGGATCTCATCCCTGCTGCGGAGAAGGTCGCCAGCCGCCTCCGTGCAGGCCGTCCCGGGGTCAACCGGCAGGATGGGTGGTGGAGGACGGCCGTAGACCACCTCAAAAGGTGTGACGCACAGGGCGGAGTGGTAGGAGGTGTTGTAGTAGTACTCCGCTCAAGCGAGCCAGTCCACCCAAGCCCGGGGACGATCACCTATAACACAACACAAGTACATAGCAATCACCTTGTTGACCACCTCAGATTGGTCGTCCGTCGGGGGGTGGAATGCCGTACTCAGCGCAGTTTCACGCCCGCCATCTGGAAGAGATCGCGCCAGACATGACCAGTGAACACCGGGTCACGGTCGCTGACGATCGAAGAGGGGAACCCGTGGAGGCGAACGATGCCGTCGAAGAAGGCACGCGCCACGGAGGCGGCGGTGTAGGGATGGCCGAGCGCAATAAAGTGCGCATACTTGGGGAAGCGGTCAACCACCGTAAGGATGACAGACTTGCCGCCCACCTTGGGAGGCCCTCGATGAAGTCCATGGAGATGTCGGCCTAGACCTGAGAGGGCACCTCAAGGGGTTGTAGCAGCCCCGCCGGCTGCAGTGTCTCTTGTCTTGTTGCGCTGGCACGTCATGCAAGACCGCACCCAGTCTGGCACCAGCGCCCGGCCGCCGGGGATGTAGAAATCTGCTCGGAGACGGTGAAGGGTCTTGTGCACGCTCTTGTGGCCGGCCGAGTGGGCCAGCAGTAGGGCCTGGTGACGGAGGTCGCCATGATCCGGCACGAAGAGCCGGCGCCCATGCAGGAGCAGGCCATCAGCCATGCGCCACGGCTCCTCCAGGTCGCCGGCCTCGAGGCGCTGCCGAAGGAGCTGCGCATCCGTAGCGCTCGCGGTGGCCCGGCGGATGTCGTCGATGAGAGCGAAGGAGGGCCCCGAGCGGATGCAGAGGGCCGCCCCTGCTGGGTCGACGGTGTCAGTGTCGTGGTCGGTGTCGCGGCGGGACAGTGCGTCGACCACGGTGTTGAGGCGGCCCGGACAGTACTCGACGGTGAAGTCGAAGCCAAAGAGCTTGTTGATCCACTGATGCTGCGACACGGTGGAGAGGCGCTGGTCCAACAAGAACTTGAGGCTATAGTGATCCGTGCGAATACGGAACGGTCGCCCCCAAAGATATGGCCGCCAGTGACGCACAACCTGCACCAAGCCGATAAGCTCCCTCTCGTAGGCCGCGAGCTTGTGATGGCGCGCGGCGAAGGGCCTGCTGAAGAACGCAAGCGGCCCATCACCCTGATGGAGGACGACGCGAAACCCCACGCCCGAGGCATCGCAGTTCACCATGAACAGCTTGTCGAAGTCAGGCATCTGGAGGACCGGCCCCATCGTGAGAGCCTGCTTGAGGGTCTGGAATGCCTCGGTCGCCTCCGTATCCCAGGAGAAGGCGTCGCGGCGCAGTAGGCACGTAAGTGGGGGCCGTGATGAGGCCGAACTCCCAGATGAATTTCCGGTAGTATCCAGTGAGGCCCAAGAAGCCGCGGAGGGCCCGCGGCGACTGCGGCGTTGGCCAAGCCGCGACCGCTGCGACCTTGTCAGCATCCATAGCGACGCCCTCCGCCGAGATGACGTGGCCGAGATAGGCGACTGATGTCGTGCCGAATGAGCACTTCGAGCGCTTGAGGTGCAGATGGTGCGCTCGAAGCTCGTTGAAGACGATGGCCACGTGCTGCAGGTGCTCCGCCCACGATGAGCTGTAGATAAGAATGTCATCAAAGAAAACAAGCACAAACCGGCGCAAGTAGGGGCGGAGCACGTCGTTCATCAACGCCTGGAATGTCGTCGGGGCATTGGAGAGGCCAAAGGGCATCACCAAGAACTCGAAGTGGCCATGATGAGTGCGGAAGGTCGTCTTCGCGACATCGTCCGGGTGCATCCGCACCTGGTGATACCCCGAACGGAGGTCGAGCTTGGTGAAGAAGCGTGCCCCGTGTAGCTCGTCCAGGAGTTCATCCACGACGGGGATAGGAAATTTTTCCTTGGATGTCTTGCGTTGAGAGCACGATAGTTGATGCAGAAACGCCACGAACCGTCGGCCTTGCGCACGAAGAGCACCGGCGCGGAAAACGGTGACGTCGAGATCCGGATGATGCCCTGGGCGAGCATGACCGCACACTGCCGCTCCAGCTCGTCCTTCTGTAGCTGGGGGTAGCGGTACGGCTGCACAACGGCGGGAGCGGTGTCCGGCAGCAGGTGGATACGGTGCTCGTAGGGCCGGACAGGTGGCAGGCCCTGCGGCTCGTCGAAGAGGTCATTGTGCTGCTGCAACAGGCTAGCCAAGAGGGGATGCTCTGCGTCGACGGCGGCCGCCGTCAACTGGGGCTGAGGAGCCGCTGCCCTCCCACTGAACGCAGCGACTCAGGCGCCAGAAAATCATCGTCATGGCGTCGAAGTCCCAAAGGATGGGACCTAGAGTCCGCAAGAAGTCGACGCCGAGGATGAAGTCGAAGCAGCCCAAGTCGATGTCGATGCAGGTGACGGTGAAGTGCTCGGTGCCGATGATGATGGGGACATGCCTAGCAATACCCTGGCAGTGGAGACGGTCACCGTTTGCCACGGTAACGCGTAACTGCTCTCCGCCGGTCGGCTGCTTGGCGCATGGTGGCCCCTGGCAGGAAGTTGTGGGTGGAGCCCGTGTCCAGGAGTGCGAGGAACCGCTCGCTGTTGATCCTTACCGGCAGCAGCATAGTCTTCTCCGTCCGGATGCCCGCGAGTGCATGGAGGGAGACGACGAGGGCGTTTGCCTGAGCCGGCCCCGGGGGAATCTCATCGGCCAATGGAGGGGCCGGGTTGCCCAGCCCGGCGGCGGTGGCGTCCTCCTCAATGTAGTCCGCGGCCTCCAAGTAGAACAGGTGCGGGCAAACGTGGCCCGGGACGTAGGGCTCGTCACAGTTGTAGCACAGCCCCTGACGGCGGCGCTCGAGCTGCTCGGCCGGGGTGAGCCGACGGAAGGGGCGCTGCGGGGGCCTGGGCCGGACGCCCCGGCTCTGGTGGTGTCGGTGGCGGCCAGGCGGGCTGTCGGGCGCCCTGGGACGGTGACGCCTGCTGCATGGATACCGCGCGACGCTCGAAGGCGCGGGCATAGTACATGGCCGTCTGGAGGTCCTGTGGTCCCCACATCTCCACGTCCACGCGGATATGATCCAACAGACCGCCAACGAAGAGCTTGGCTCGCTGGCGAGCCGTCACGCCAGGGCCTGGAAGCAGTCGGCGAAGTCCTGCACTGCAGAGGTGAAGGGTAGGCGCCCAAGCTCCGCCAGCCGGCTCCCGCGTATCGGCGGCCTGAAGTGTAAGAGGCAAAGCTCGCGGAAACGCTCCCATGGGGGCATGCTGCCCTCGTCCTGCTCGAGGGCGTAATACCACGTCTGTGCGGCGCCTCGGAGGTGATAGGAGGCGATCCAGGTGCGGTCGGACGCGAGCATGCATTGCCCCCTGAAAAATTGGTCGCACTGATTGAGCCAGTTCAGGGGGTCCATGATGTCGTCGTAGGTGGCGAACTCAAGCTTGGTGAAGCGCGGCAGCGTCTGACCGTGGACGACGGAGGGGTACACCTCATCGGCGCGGAGCAGCGAGGACGACGGCGCCGAGTAGGTGGGCATCAGAGGGCCACCCTGGAACAGGGGCTCGTCGACACCGGCGGAGCCCGAGGGCCCACCGAACTAGATGGCCGAGGGCGGCACCGGTGGGGGTAGCACGTGCGGCTGTCCGGAGGCCGTCGTGTAGACCGGCTCGAGGGACCAGGTGAGCCAGGCTGGTAGCAGTGATGGCGATGGAGGGAACCGGACCTGGTGGATGGGCACCTCCTGAGCCGTCGTTGGGGCACCCTGGGTTGAGGTCGGCGGCGGCGGCAGCTGCAGCTGCTGGTGCGGCAGCGCCACGGTGGGGGCGACGGAGGGCTGTTGCTGCTGCATGGTGGAGGCGCCGATGTGTGCCGCGGGTGGCGGCTGCTGCGCGGTGGGGGTGAAGGGGTCACCGAGGGGGGTGGTTGCCATGGCGGCAGCTGCGGCGGCGACGGCGAAACCGCCTGGGTGAGGTCCCGGAGGGCAGCCGTCATCTCCTCCGGGGTGAAGACGACGGGGGTGGTGATCGGCGGCGTCCAGGCAGCGGAGTACATCGGGCCTGACAAGGACGGCGCCCCAGCCGCGGAGGTGGCCAGCGGCATGGTGGTGGTCAGCGGCGGAAGAGTGGTGGTGGGAAGAGGTGTAGACATGACCGATCCCGAGACAGCTGATACCAGATTGATAGGAGTTGGGATCCTACCAGGCCTAGCTCTTAGGTTGAAGGGGTGGAAGGGAGGGTGGCGAGGAGTTGGGCGCGAGCGGCGGTGCGACGGCGCCGTGGTCGCGCAGCTGAGGAGGAGCTGAGGAGGAGATGGCGCAGGAGGCGGCTAGGGTTAGGGTTCCAGCTCCCTTCGGGAGCCGGGCAATAGTTATGACTTATTGCTTAATTCCAAAATGTGGCCTTACAAGTGTTTATATAATCCTCGAGGTGCTAATAAAAATAAAGATAAGTTGGGCTAAGCCCCTAACTAGACGCGCTATTGGGCCTCCTCCGGCTATAAGTGACGCCGGTCATAACATAAGGCCTCACACATCCCATGAATTAAGTTTGATCAACAATCTGACTTATAAAGTGTGAGTTATGTGATACAAAAATGAAAAATCACATGATTGGGCTGGTATTGAAAAGCATTTTCTAATGATATGTCACTTTGTGTCACATGACCCACATTTTAAATCTTGAAATGCATGGGCCCCTTATATTTTGCAATGTAGGGAGTAGTTTACCCATGTTGAACGTGGTGCTAACCTGTTAGATATTAACTACTAAGTAGTAAGTGATTCTCATATCGAGTCTTGTCTAACAGAGCTGAACAGAATACAAGGCATATATAGTTTTGTTCAGTGTCTAGGGATAACTGTTCTCACCAACTATTCAGTGGATGATATTTGCAAATTCCAGCAACTGATATACGTTGAGACAACCAGTGCTTCTGTTTCATTTCTTAATTTTATTTTATAGGCAACATATTATCCTGGGTTGTGTGAACCAACCACCCAAGGCGGATTAGGATTTGACTACTGGGCCAATCTTTCTATTCCAGAAATGTGGTTGTGGCATCTTGAAAATGTTCCAGAGCGAGAGTGGAGCATGAACAAGGTTTGCATGCTATCTAGACTTTCGCATGGCATCATCTTATTGGCACCATGTAGACTAGAAGTATCATATTTCATGTCTAATAGCTATCTTGGATCATTTTGCAGATTATGAAAGTATTGATAAGCAGCAACCATCATATGCTATCTTACGTTGAAAATCACAACCAGGTTTGCGTATATCTTTTTCTGGGCGCCAATTGTATCATCATGCTTAGAAAGAAAAGAGCATATTATATTTCATACAGACCAAATCTTGTTTTTAAGATAAAAGTCACTTCCTCAGACACTTAGCCCATAAACAACTTCTAGTTTCTTTTGCTCTTTATATTGTGTTTCACCCTATTTCCGTCTCAGACTTGCTCAAATGCTCTCTTGTGCATCTTCACCAGAACCTAACATACATGATATCTGTAGGTGTTATGGCTTAGGATTTAGACCTTAGCTTGACCTTGATCTGCACAGCCGACCTTAGGAGGTCATGTCTATGATGAGGCTAATAATTTTTTCCATTATCTGAAAAAAATAGCCCAGTAACTCAGTCTACTCTTTCCTAACTTGCCTTGAACATTTAAATTCCTAACTTTATAGACAAATAATATGAATTTCTAATCCTGAGCAATTGGCTATGGATGATCGCCTATTGATCCTGTGGCCATGTGGAAGGTCTTCCAAGACATTTCTCCCTTCTTCAAAAGCGGCTCATCTCGAGCTGGAACAAGGGATAATGATGCTTGAGCTCCGCAACATCCTCCAAGTAGCTATGAGATCAGCCTGGCGAGCGAGCACCTACCATACATCTTCAGCGTGACTGCCACAAAACATGCCCAAGGGAGTAGGTGAATCAAGCCCATGGTGCATCAACAGAAGTGTTGATGTTGCATCTAGAAGCATCGTGTTGGACTTCTGGAGAGAACCCCAATGTGAACGATGGCTGGCTGAGACTTGCAGCTTGTATGCCACCTCACCCAAATGCGTTAGCATTTTGGAAGGGCCGTAAAAGCGTGGCGTCTACTTGTTTTGGTGGAGCTTATCAAAATGATAGCTACATCAAGAAGTACTTGGGACATGTTGGAGTTGTAGCTGTTTTTCTACCTTACCTGTACAACAAAAGGTAGCCTTGACAATGCCTGGCCCAATAGACCCTGATGTACCAATTGGTCTTTCCTGTTGGGAGTCCATGCCATTTAATGGAAATAAATTAACGTGGGGTTTTGGAAATGATATGTAGTATTGTGAAACGCAAGCTGCAGTGTGTAGTTTCCTTTTTTATAAAAAATAAAATTATAATTTTTATTCTTCTTGATTGACTTTGTGATAGAATTGTTACATCTGATATTTTGACAGTCGATATCAGGGCGGAAGTCTTTTGCCGAGATAATTCTTAATACAGGAATGTACTCTAGTGGGTCAGTGGATGATGATTTGATTTTCAAGGCTTCCTCATTGCTCAAGGTATGAGTTTGTTCCTAGCTTGTGACTGTATATCCATTTACCCATCCATGATTGCATCACCCCTTTAATTAGATTTATTAGCTACCGATACAGTGAATTTCCATGGATCATGCTTGTCATTTCCTTCAATTTATTTGTTTTCAACAATGCTTACATTCATAAATTAAGGGTAACCAGTGACAGATGACGGAAAATTAGGAAATGGGCCTACCTTGCTACTATTCTTTAGTAGATCATACTACTGTGAGTCTGCACAGACAGCGCAAAACTTGTAGTTTGGTTCGTGCACTACTTTCAACATTTATCAGGCGAATCTGCCTGGTCTTAATGTCACTGCTGTCCGAGATAGCTGATTGTCTTACACTCAAATTTATACATTTAGGATTTAACTATGACATTAACATTGACGTGATCTCTAAACCCATCCAGAATGTCGTCAATGAGTGCAATTTTTTTTGTGATATATATGATGAATCAGTGTGAATCAGATGATAGAAAACATATACTGGCTCAGGAGAACAGGAACGGCCAGGACCCTGTAGAGTGTGGATATAGCCATATGGGGTGCCCAAACACCCCAACTTTAAGCACATTTCCACAGATTCAACCTGTTCGACCTGCTTCTTTTTACTGGTCGACAACTTGGTCACCTGTACCACTGGGAGTTCAGTTGCCAGTCAGGGAGATGCCTAGAATGGGCGACTTGATAAACATAGAACCAGCAAGCCTTAATATGATCTTCTCCTAAGGAAGCTCTTTATTTTCTGGAGTAGTGGTTTACGGTAAGCAGCTCGGCTGGATATCCAACCATGTTCACTGGTACATGGGCGTAAGCTGCTGGGGGTTGTCCTATATTGATCAACAGGAAGGGCCCTCTGCTATATTATCATCTTTATGTCAAAGACTTAAAACTAGTATCTGTGAAAGCTAAGTGACTTTAGTAAGTGGTGAACTGAGGAGTCTTTATATTCATGGTATTTCTAGTAACAACCTTTACTGGCGAATAGTTGAAGTACTAACAATTACTTCCTGCCACTTTCAATCTTTTTCAACGTGTTTCAGATAATCAAGTTGATTACTTTTACAACGAGTGGAGGTGCATATCTCAATTTCATGGGTAATGAATTTGCTCATCCAAAGGTCAGCTACTTACATGGTTTCTAGAATTTAACAGTCTTTATTTCTTCCCAGAATTTTGGGTCCGTACTCAATTTGTACAAGAGCGTTTAAGTTCTTTGTTGAATGATTGCAGAGGATTGAGTTTCCCATGTCAAGCAATGGCTATTCCTTCCACCTAGCTTGTCGGCAGTGGGAACTATTGGACAAGGGTGTTCACAAGCATATTTTCAATTTTGACAAAGTATGTAACTATTTTCTTGGAAGGGATTTAAAATTACTTGTCAGTTTACTTGTCACTGCAAACTAAAACTCTTTTGCCAGATCATGGAGCGTTGATTGTCTCTGCTATACAGCGCATATGTTTTGCATGTTTCTTTTTTGGCGAAATGATGTCTGTAAGTTCAGCTTAGACTTAGTCACAGAAGTTATCCCTGTGCTGTGTTGGGTTGAAAACAATGGTCTTCCATTCTTTCGCTCAATACTACTATATGGGTTGACTACGGTGAACCTGGGGATCCACTGGAGGGCATTTATATGGGTTGACCCATGTACAGGTGGCCCTGTTGCCCATATGTGGTTAACCATATTTAAAGTAAGTTAAAAGTGTATGGTAGCATATAAGGGCATATTGCTTGAGGTTTATAATGTAGTTACTCTATGTTAACTCTTCATGTGAAGCAAGCATGAAACACAAAAGAGATGCTAGTTTGTTTACCAGTCAAGCATGGGGGCTGGGCTTTGGAGATTTTCAAAGTTGCGGTATTATAGTTCTTATAGAGTGGTCACGTAGCTTGAATTTGTTCTTATTCGTGTTAATAATCCTAATTAATTATGACATTCTGGATGTTCCGTACCAGTCTTATTCATTGACCAAAAAGAAAAACAATTGTGTATTTGTAATATTGGCTCTTCTATTGAGGGTAATTTTCTGTTGCCAATCTTAAATATTTCGTCTGTATATGTGTAGCTAAAGTTTAGTTGAGGGATATATGTCAGACATTGCATAGGTTAGAAATGTGAAGCGTCACATTTTTACTACACTGTGCTAGTCACAATATATTCAACCCAAAAGTGTTATTGTTTAGAATACTGCATCTGCCAGGAACTTTTGATGTTGCGTCAAAAGTTATTTTTTTTCTCAACTATTATAGGCTTCCAGATCATTCAAGTGTTGATTTTATACCTCCAGGAGATTAATCCTACTAACTCAGCAATTTTACCCCAGGATATAATGAGCTTGGATGAAAATGAAAGGGTAACTTCGAGAGGTTCACTCAATGTTCATCACTGTGACGATACAAACATGGTATGGAAGTTTTTCAGTTATTAATAGCTCAAACCTATTTTATAAATTAATAGAAAACATACAGTTGTTTTTATTCTGAAACCAATTATGCTTTATGAGGGACTTATACTGTTGCTAATCATATTTACTCACTTTGGTAGGTGATATCTTTCACAAGGGGGCCTTTCCTTTTTGTATTTAATTTCAATCCAGAAGTCCCCTATCAACTGTATCGTGTTGGTGTGGATGAAGCTGGGGAATACCAAGTAAGTTATTTATACTAAGCATTATTTCTGTTAGCTATGCACAAAATTATCATCATTTAATTTGAATATTTAACAAATTCTCAACATAAATTATTCAACTTAATACATTATATCATAAAATTCTACACCACCTGAAATTATAATATTCTCATAGATTTTTGACTTATAAATATGTTTGGTCAGTTAAATCTCTCCATCATGTCCATCTTAATTGAAAATAACTCATTTTTTCTAAACATAGTCTTATAGCACAAAGTGAGGGAAACTGGGAGAACATTTTATCATGTACTCCCTCCGTCCCAAAATGTAAGACGTAGTGTCAAAAAACGTCTTACATTATGGGACGGAGGGAGTAGCATGGTACGAGCTATTACATCTACAAAGCGGTAGTGCTGACAACATATTATGTCACAGCCCTAGATAAGTTCATACTTCTATTTTGGGTAAGAAAGTGTTGCTTTTGTGGTCATAAAAAGTATAGCATGGATATATTGGAGCTACGACTATATTATTATTATGGTGAGAATAATAATTTTAAATGCCTCACAAATAAATTAAACAATTTAATGCTCAGAATGAACTCCATTTGCTTTGCAGATGAAATGCATAGAATCTCAGTTTGAGGCAAATACTTGCTAACATCAGATTTAGTTCTGTTACTATCTCATACTCCCTCTTTGCCAAATTATAGTGCGTATACTTCAGATTTATAAAAATGTATCGACATTTTTTCTATAAACTTCGTCAAAGTTCACAAAGTTTGAATAGAAAAATATACTATATGCACTATAATTTGGAAAGGAGTATGTCTGTATAGATGTTACCATATCTCTCATCTTTTGTCTAGAATAACACCATTTATTCAGTTCAGGAAGCAATTCATTCCGAAACAATGAACTCATATGCTTCAAGAACTAGTATTATTATGTTATTATGTATTCACTTTTTTTTTTACATTTAACCAGCTTATCTTAAACACGGATGAAACTAAATATGGTGGCCGTGGGGAACTCAAGAGTAGTCAGTATATGAAAAAGACTAGTGACAGAAGGTATTATTGGCAGCAACTGGATAATCTATGCTTTTGTTTGCTGTTCTTTCTGGTTGTATTAGTATTGTGCATCTAACCTAAGCAGGGTAACTTTCTTCTAGAGCTGATGGCTGTCGCAACTCCTTGGAATTGGCATTAGCATCTAGAAGTGCTCAGGTATGTAGATTACAAGGACTACTAGCCTGTATGACAGATACGCACATCTTAAAAAAAAACATATTTTCAGGTATACAAGTTGGTCCGAATCTTGAGAATATAGGCTGTCGACACTAATTACTGTGACATACCAAATAATCAATGTCCTCCGAAGATGGACTATCATTGCCAATGTTCAAGTTGGAAACATGGGTGTCGAAAATGAGGTATGTGCAGTGCGTTGCTACAAATTTTAACATTATAGTTTTTTTTAATAAGAAATATTTTCACTAGCTAAGTACTCCGTGCGTAGCTACAAATTTTAACATTATAGTTATGCCTAAATAAGAAATATTTTCACTTAGACTAACATTTATCTGTCCATACCATGTTATATAGCTCGATACTGTGAATAGTTGCAGCACCTATGTTTTTGTACTGAATATTGCTAGTTAGTCGAGCGGATCATATTTGGCTTTCAATATAAGCCGGGCTCAGGCCTACTTTCTAATGAAATAATGTCGATGGTCTAGCAGAAATAAATAACACATACGACGTGCACACAGAGAGTCTGGTGCAGACCCTTAATTGTTTGCAATATGGAAATCACTTCTGTTTAACATATGCAGACTTCAATTAAATGCATGGCTGACCTTTGTTTCACCTTTAAGTACAAAATAGAAAATATGTGTGCACAACTTATTTTTGTACACACATGTCAATATAGTGCGTAATTTGGTATTACACATTTAACAGCTTTAATTTATCACCTTCACAGATTGGAGTCGGCATACAAGTCAAGCTCCCCCAGCGCGGCAAGCTCAGTGAAAAGTTTTGACTGTGCTATAAATTCTGGCCATGAGCAAGTTCTCAAAAATAAAACATGCCATTTCAGCTACAGTACACCTGGTGCTTGCCAGGATCTTGAAAGGACCCCGCTACCCCCTGATGGCATTTTATGTGTACTGGGTGAGACAAGGGGGTGGCATTTTATGTGTACAGTTTGTTTGAATTCCGGGGAGATTTTGGCAGAAAACTGCCACCGTCAGATCTAGATCTGATGGCTCTGGGGGTGTTCGCCAGGATTGATCTGACGGCTCTGGGGGTGTTTGCCAGGATTTTGGTCTCTTGGATAAGATTTCCCTCATGAAATCACCTCATTCCAGATATAATGGTTAACTCCCCATAGGTAGAGCATGGATGCGCGATTGACGATGTACGGTTCAGTTCGAGCATAGTGGAGCAATGTGTTGGATTTGTTACGACGGTGGTTTAATTTTAACTATAAGCTTCACAGTCGGTCGATCGATCGGAAACGAATGGAGCAGATGATCTGCAGCAACTATTGTTGACGTTAGTATTGGGAAAGCTAATAATTCACTTAGCTAGTCTCATCTTTGTGCAAAGAGAACTTGAACATCAAGAATAGGTTCGATGTTTGCAGGAGAGACGAATAAGGTAGCGCTACATGTTTCTCTTAGAGCTTACCAGCAGTTTAGTAAAAGCAATGTTTGTTCATTCATGACTAAGTTTCCGGTGCTCATATTTTTGGTTGGAAGACTCAATGCAGCAAAGTCATTTTGTGTGGTTGCATCACTTACGGTACATCTGAGACCATTTATTTATTCTGAGATTGTAAGAACGTATGACCCACCCAGATGTATAGCACACATTTTTTTTTTGTATCTTTCTTTTTTAGTCAAATTAGTGTCAGCTTGATGGGCCTAAAGTACACCTTTTGTCATAGAAGATACACATGCAGGTATCTCCTCTCAGTCTATCCGTAGAACAAATTCATAGACTTCTTTCATCTTAGACAATTTAAATCAATCATATCTTTTAAACTATACACTCATTTATGAAACTTTTTATATATTTGGACTCCTCCTGTCAAGAACTTTAAAACTAGACCAGTTTTGGATACATTTCAAATATATTTAAATTTTGACATTTCACATTTCATGTGAAACAACCTATTTCTAGAGAAAAATCCGAGACAAACCTATTTCTTTCGTTGAGATATGTGAAAATAACATTTTTCACATAAACCTATTTAACCTAAATATGAAACTGAAATGTCAACTTGCGAAACCGATTATTTGGAAATGTGTATCATTTTATTTCAAAAGAGTAAAATATGTTATTTCAAAAATGTGCAATTGAAATAGATGTGATGTTTGTGAAATGAGCCAGTGAAAAGTGAAATGCACCTTCTAAAAGTGAAAAAAATGTGAAACTAAAATCTCAACTTGTGAAATTGAAATTTTAAAATGTGTAACGGTTTACTTCATAACAGTGAAATAGATGTGATTTTGTTAAAACACAAAGTGAAATGTAGGTTCTGCAAGTGAAAAATTATATAAATTGAGATTTTAACTTATGAAACTGATTATTTTGAGATGTGCAACAGTTTATTTCAAAAGAGTGAAACATGTTATTTCAAACATGTGCAATTGAAATATATGTGTTTTTTGTGAAACAAGCCAGTGGAAAGTGAAATGTATGTTTGAAAGTGGAAAACAATATGAAAGTGGAATGCCAACTTGTGAAACCGATTATTACGAAATGTGAAACGGTTTATTTTAAAATAGTAAAATATGTTCTTTCAAAAATGTTCAATTGAAAGAGAAATGAATTTTCTGAAACACGCCTGAAAAATGAAATGTCAGTTCTGAAAATGAAAAACAACATGAAACTGAAATGTCAATTTGTGAAACTGCTTGAAATCATTTTATTCACAAGATTTCAAGCGGGTGAAACATGTCTCATGAATTTTAAACTCATTTAAAATGTATCGAAAAATCAGTCTTGTTTTAAAGGTCTTTGCTACATGAGTTCAAATATATAAAAAGTTTTATTTAAGTTAGCAAACATAAAATAAATGGGTGCATTTGTTTGGGAGAGAGAAGAGAGGGAATGGCAGCGGATGCATGCAACCATCTAACTGAAAAGCAGGGAATTCATTGTACAATCTGACATGCACAGAAGTATTGCAGTGTATTTCATCTATACCAATATAAAAAGATCTAAAGCGGCAGATCCAATTAATCTTAGCCATTAAATCATGTCAATCCAACGATTTAGACTGCTTCAATGTCGAGCGCTCAATATGTGTAGCGTGCAGTTAATTTCATGCCAAATATATTGCTAATCACATAATAACACGCAAATAATATCCTAATTAATATCCGCATGCATTTAGTATACTTCTAAATTAACATGCATTGCACGTACACATTGACTAGTCTGAAAAATGATGCACGACTTATACATTATTCCGACGCACGAATCGTGAGCACTCAATGAACGGCCCGAGATCTGCCGCTACCAGCCGGCAACGCGCAAATTTCCATTTTGCTCTCAATGCGCGTTATTACAGCGGCATGTCCTGACTGACATTCTTTTTGCTAGGAAAAAGAAACAATTCTCATCTCATTGCTAAAGTGGATCACCCTCCTCTGCTGCTCCCGTGGGCGACAGGGGAGGCCACCCGCCGCCGCCGGCCCCTAGCCCACCTCTTCCTCCTCTCTCCTTGCCGCCGCCTAGGCGCGCCGGCGGGCGAAGCCTGCCTGGCATTGGTGGCAGCGGGGTGCTTTCTCCCTCTCGCACGGCGGGATCGAATCAACGCGGGTCAATCTGTCTGAGCCAGGGTGCGGCAACAGTGCTGGTGATCGCAGCAGCACGTGGATGGCTGCACGAGGGTGGCAGCAGCGCGACGCGTCAGGCGTTGGCGGCGGCGGAGAGCTGGCCCAGATCTGCTGCCAGATGGCACCTGGCGGCTTGGGCTGCAGACGGCACGGACCACCGGCTGGTACTATCCTCGAGGCGGTGTGGCCGGTGGCGATGGTGGCCGGGGTTGTGCTCATGCTGTGGTGACGGCACAGTGGCGGTCCTCAGAGTTCCCGCGGTTGTGTGCGTCTTGTCGGCGAGGCAACACGTGGTTCCAGTCAGCTACAATATCGGGATGGCGCGTCCGCTGGTGAAAATCGCGTGGACTCCGGTTTTGACGGACGCTGGCGGCATCTTTGAGACGTCGTTTCCTTTGTTGAGGCATCGTTGTTGCAGGTACCTATTCCATTCATCATAATATGTTTTCAAATTCAAATATTATCATTCTACCCCGTCTCAATGCCATCTGCCTAGTTTATACATCATTCTTCTGAATACCTCATGCATTGTTGTTTAGTATGTACTCCATCCATCTACCATACCATGTTTTTTTATATTGAAGTGTTGTTCTACTGTTCTGTTGCAATGCGATCTTAGTTTGTCCATCAGACATGTGAATATGCGGCCTTGCTGTTTTTCTGTACCTATTTCAACTAAAGTTTATTTAATTGGAAGCTATGGTTATTTAGTTACAAAATAAACCATTTCAGCATGCCATTTATGCAAATTAATTCAATCATCACGTTTAGCCATTTTAAACATGGATGAAAGTTGGATATTGTGAAACTATACAAAATTCTAAGCATTTTGCATATATAGTTTGTTTAATTTGAATGCATGTATATTTAGTTATTAACAATACAAAACAGGGGCATTTTCTGTAATTATGCATGCACTGGAAAATGATAGATCAACAGAGCAGAGAAGAAAACATGCTTGGGTCAGAAGCAACACAGTGCAACGACCCAGCAGCGAATGAGGCCCAAGTATGCGTGGTGTGTGCATATGCAATAACAGAAGATCCTCAAAAAAAAAATATGCAATAACAGAAAACAACAACAAAAGAAAGAAGAGGAGAAAAAGGAACTTGGTGGTCCCACCAAGGATAGAGATGCATATTGAAGACGTGACACGGATGCTTGCTCTCTCTGGCTATAGCTTGACGTGTTTGGTGCTTCGGTTTGGTGGTTTCTTAAAGCGGCACACTTCATAGTCTAAGTAGGCTCATGTTAGGTTTTGTTCCTCTTGTTTTCATGCTCGGCTTCGAGTTGGTGGCGTTCTCGCCACCCACTCGGTTGTCGTTTTTTTCTTCCTTTTGTTTTGTTTGTTTGGGGATTTCCCCACCACCATCTTGTATTGGTTCGGCCGTTCAGACTTCATATATAAAGTTGATATAGGTAGTCTAGGACGGCATTGTATGAGAGCTACTCCATCACTTTTTATTGTTCTGCTGTGTACTCTGTTTGGTGTTTGCTTTATATATAAAGCGACCACTTTTTATCATTCTGCCATGTACTTTGTTTGGTGTTTACTTTATATATAAAGCGAAGCAAAAGCATGTTTTGAGGAACCGTTTTTGGATTTTCCCATCACCTTGTATCGGTTCAAGCTTTATATCTATCCCTAATAATAAAGCACGGATTGACTCCGTGGGTTCACCGTCACAATACGCTTTCTTTCTGTGAATTTACGTTTTTAATTTAAATTTAAAACATATATGCGAGGTGGTACTAATTCTGCTAAAAAACGACTCAATCGCTACTTTGCGCTACGTCGTAGAGTACCTCCAACTTCGCACGCTAGCCATATATTGGGCTGATATATGCTGATGGGTCTCCTCCCAGGCTTCATTGGATTACGATCCAAAAATCAGCAGCGTGGGGATGTACTCTGGTCTCCACGCCCCGAACCAGCTCACTCAGATCCTTTGTCTTTCTCAAAAAAAAACCAGGTTATTTGTCTAAAAAAACTAACCCTGGTAATGATTGCAACCCTCGGGGTAGCTTCTTTTTTTCATGCAGCGCATGCACGTCCTTCTTTAAGTACTGCAAGCATTTGGTTTGGAGCTGCAAACGTAAATCTTTTCATTTCTCGGCATTTTTCCTGCTATAACTTTTTCTTGAAAATATACTTGCTTGATCTACGTGCAACTTCGCTCAAGTTTCGCTGCTTCAAACGGCAAACACTACACTGCAAGCGGCACGCGTCGCTGTAAGGTCGAGTGCCCACTGCGTCTAGCTAGAAACACGTCAATGTAACATCAATCTCCGCTGTTCTTTTTTTTATTGGCAATTCGGACCAAAGTGCTGCAAAATTATTACATGGATGTTGGAAGGACGGTCGTTTGTCCTACCAGTTGGATGAAAAACACTGCAAAGGCGACCACGTGGAAATTGCAAGGATGACTGACGATGCTATAGGTCGGACGCATGTCATTGCAAGGTCGTTTCATGATTATACATTTCTTCTAGATATGGACATGGACCTTCTTGTAGCTACCAGCTGGCAGCGTGTGAACGCTATCGTGATGTTTTGATGGACATGCTATCTTTTATTTGATCTTCTTGCAATGTACGGCATATGCGCTATAATAATAATTATTATTATTATTAAAGTCATCAATTGCTTTCAAACTTATAAAATATTACCCACCAATGCAATCCATAAGTTGACAAAAAACATTTCACACTGGGAATCCCCTACCTGGGCCATCCCACGCAGTAGTGATCTTCTATACTGCGCTCTGCACGCAGCGAGAAGACACAGCGCTCCAATTAGGGCCGGCCCATGTGCGGGCGGTCCGTTTTTAAATTTCGTTTTTTTTCCATTATCGTTTTTTCTCCTTTAAATAATTTGGTACTTAAAAAACCTCCAAAAATTTTAAAAAGAACTTTTAAGTAAATTTTTGAATAAAGCATAAAATGATTGTGTCGCATATTCAAAACATGTTTGCAATTTTTAAAACAAATGTTTGGGAAATAAAAAAATATTCATTATTTTTAAAATTTTGTTTATTACGAATTATTAATGAAATTGAACAAAATGGTCGCCAAAATGTTATCGGTGATGCAGCAAAATGTTGTCATGCTCATTGAAGTTTATGATTTTTGTCTCCCGTTGCAACGCACGAGCCATTTTACTAGTATAATATAAAGCTGGGCAAATGCCTGTTTCGTGTAAGGTGTTTCTCGAAGAAGAAAAAGTTAAAAAGTATCCTGGACACACACGGTTCTCTTAGATACCGCCGCATCTTCTCTTGTCCAAGATCCAAGACGCACAAAACAATGTTAGAACCCCCCGCAAAAAAAGAAAACAATGTTCGAACCAGTGGGCGTGTGAGATCTCATACATCATCGACGGCGTTGATTCGTGGCGAATTCGGAGGCCCCAACGGGGCGAGCACGTCACCGCTTGACCCTTTCCCCTCGAGGCGCTGCCGTTCCGCCGTGGTCACGCCTCCGAGCCATCACAAGGACCCAAACCCGAGACACAGCCAGCATTAAACAAAAAGGCAAAAAGGCAGTCCAGTCCAGTCCAGAGGCCGTTTTTGTCCGCACGGCAAGCCAGAGCCACCCCCGCTCGCCTCAAGCCGTCGTCATCGATCACAATTCACACCCAGCTTCCAACCATCCGACTCCCTCACTCCGTCCGCGCAATTAAGAGATCCCCCCTCCCCCCGCCCCCTCTCGCGCGCGCTCCCGTGCTCCATCGC